ATTAAACGAGTCTAAATATCGCGGCTGCGCGCGCGTGTCCCGCGGCCCCGAGTAAATCATCCGTCGACGCCGTTGCGGAGGTACGTTTACCCGGTCGTAAAGGGACGGCCGAAAAAGCGCGGCGTATCAAATTTTTATATCGTTTTTACGAGTGAACACGGAATAAAAGCGAATCGGGTGTGGTGGGACGTATTGGATGACCGTGATCCGCCGCGGATCTCGCGTACCCGCGCATCACGCCGTTGAATTATGAACGACGGGGTGGGACTGCGCGGACGGTAAAGAGAGGACAGAAGAAAAAGGCAAAGAACGAGAGAGGGAACGCGCGAAACGAACGACGACACCGCGGGCACGGCACGCGGCCCGACAGCTCGCCATTATAACTTTCCGAGGGAAAGCGATTCGGCTATAGTGTGGCTAGGGAGAACGCGACGATCCGGTACGAGTAATTTTGCCTTTGGAATCCTCCAAGCTGACCTATAACAACCCACATCCTCTGCGGCGAATAACTATGCAAATTTCTGTATGGGTCGAGCGGAGACTTCTGATGGCACCCTATACCGTGGACGAGTTACGAGGAAACGTGGCCATAAAAGGCACACACGGTCAAGATTGACCCCTCGGTTCCTGCCTGCCTCTCACTCCATCGCTCTCTTTTTATCCGTCCCTCTGTCGCTTTCTTTCTGTACCGCTCTGTCTCTTTCTCTATCATTTCCTTTTTCTCTATCCGTGCCATCTCCCTGTTCCTTCGCGGAACAAGATGAAACCATTTCAAAATGCATATACACGACTTCCAGGGTAACTCGCGAGCATAAGACGAAGAGGCATAGTCTATCGATAACTTTCTTAACCCTTTGCGGACGAATGTCGACACTTTGCCGAGATCTAACTTTCATTTTTGTTATGTTAAGTTGCGAACAAATGATTCGAATACTCAAACAGCAAGAAACCAGTACATAATTTCCTTATATATTATTTAGGCATTCGATGTGTGATTTGGCAGAATCTACAAAAGGTTTTGTAATTTAAAGAATCTTCGTCCGCAAAGGGTTAATTTCTACCCTCTCTGCACCGGCAGATAGCTGCAGTATCGCGACGTCTCGTTTATGACTTCCAGGAGAATAGGCTATGGCTTCTCGTAAATTCATTTGACACACGTCGAGACTTTCCCACCACACGGGGAAAATTTAAAATATTTACCTGACTGCCAACTGCCAGGAACAGTCAACTTGATCAGGAAAACATCCGACGTGGCAAATCATCCGGCAAAGAGAATAATCGTTTCCAATTCAACCAATCACAAAATTCCCTTCTACGCGAGTTCTCTCATTTCTTTTTCATCTCAATACTTTGTAACACAGTGCGCGAGCATCGTTCATTTCATATATCTCAATCCTGTAACTCATTACTCTACGTTTTTCCAAGAATCTAGCTTAAATGAATCAAATACAGTCCACTTAGATTTAAGTCTCATTTGAATCATCCTTAACACTTTCACCAGCCTTAACACTAGACTTACGGAACCCGTCAATTTGACGGATATCAAATTTTCTAAACGTTATTGTGCAATTGCGAATACGCATTGCAACACTCTGGTTTCGACGCTGCAATTTTAATAATTTATACAAACGAACGCATAGTTTTCTAGGAACGATAGAATAAAGTATATAATAAACATTCGTAAATCTAGTGTTAAGGAACGTACGAACTCTCAATCACTTTCTCTCTACCTCTCCTTCTCTATCTTCTCTTTTCTCTATTTGCCTCTTTCAATCTCATTCTATTTCTCTCTATCCCTCTCCGCCCTTGTAAACTATCGTGTTCCTCGTCAAACTCGTTACAAGACCTCTCTTTGGCCCAAGTATGATTCCTGTTCTCTGCGCCCGGATCGAACATCTTCTCGTATAACATCCGTTTCCTCTCCACCTTGGTCGCCCGACAAGGTGAGCTCGAATCATTTCATCCCCCCATTCCGTGGCCAGTTCCAGAGGGAACACGTCGGGAGGAAGGAAAAGAGAAAGAAATCACTTTTCCATCACGAGATCGTCTCCGAAGCGGTCAAGCCAGTAATTTCAATGAAATCTTCGATCTCTCGGTGGCATCTCTCCCGGCGATACGGCTGCGCGAACGCGCGGTCGTATTAAACCGGAACCCACCTCGAGCGGTTTTTCGAATTGACAGCGTAAGGACTACTTTTGCTCCATTTTCCGCGTCGGATCGGTGAAACTTCCGTTAATTGAAATTCGCCAGGGTTATGGATGATACACGGTACACCGGAACGTCTCGGGTCTAACGTAATCGCGGACTGTTTCCACACGAAACACGACTAAACGGAGGAGCTTTAGCGTTTATTAAACACTCGACGGTATAAGAGAAACACGAGTAGTCTGTATCCGTCTGCGAGCAACTTCGACGCGTTGATGATGTTTGACGTAGACCCGCCGGGGATTTGTATTATTATAATTCGTAGTTTTTTGGAAACTCGGTTCCATCGAGTTTCGGACTGTACATAGAATTGTTGGACACGCTGTTTTCGATCTGAATGACTGCATTGAAACCAGATATTCATATAGAAAACGATTTATAGAAGCAGATTTTAACAGATACAAGAGTATTCGTGTAACAGGATTAAAATACGATCTAAACAAAACATTTCTTCTCCTATATGCTTCCTTATCGAAAATCTTCCGAGGAATATAACTTTAATCACCGATATTGTATATTATTCTCAGTAATCCATCAACTACGCACAGTTTAATCAAAGACGCGTTACATGTTTCCGCGAAAATTACCTCCTACCTGAATTTCATTAAGATCATCGTTATATCTATACAGGGTTCGCTGCGTTCCCTTGTCAGTTTCTAATAATCCAGACCCAGTTATTAATTATGAAGGAGCATCGAAGAACATTACATGCTTGTGTTTCCAGCATGAAGGGAAATTGTGCAGAATAGACAGTAGCTTCCGTAACGAGCGAGTGATCCTTGCAGCGAGTGCCACAAAGACGGCCAATTAGAATACAGTTCCGTTCCATCTGTTCGTTTGAGATCCTCATTGCCCGGACATTCGAAAGTACTCGGAAAAATACGGGATCTTAAGACAAATGGAAAGAGAATTTCGCCCGTAGGAGGCCATTGTTTTCGGTGGTGAGCGACGCGGGGGATGATCGTCTCCCAAACGACGCGTATGATCTCGAGCGTCAGCGAACATGCATCAATCGCGACTGGATCCGGCGTCCATTCTCGCCGTGTCGGCTGGCTTACACCGTACACACCACATATTTCCGCGTGCGCATTCGAGGGCTTACGAGAAGCGTGTCGATAGGTCAATCGTTCTAATTTCGATTGCGTTCGCCGACCTACATGTGGCCGAGCGTGAATCCCGAGCGGTTCTCACCAAAAGGTCTCTCGTTTACGGGGGGGTATAGAATCCAACCGCTTTGACTTTTAAAGGCGGATATATACGTCCTCGCAGGATCATTAATATGTATGTACGACAGGTGTACATATCCTGATAAAAAAGGGTTCAGAATTTTAAAGGTGGATAGTACTATGAGAGTCAAAAGGTTTTGATAAATATGGATCGAAAAATTAATATTACAATATTAATATAAATATTATACTGGGATGTATATAGAAGATGTCAGAGAAAGGTTCAAAGACTGTTAGGATAGATAGAACTCAAGTGGAAAAATAAAGTTTTAATAAATATGAATAGAAAGATTAATATTTCGATATTGATAGAAATGTTATAATATTACTATGACGATAATTTCGAAGTTATAAATAATTTTTTCAATCGAAGCAATCGACTTTCTTCCTTCGTGCGCTCTAAAAATAACGGATTATCTACCATTCAAGGTATATTATATTCTGAATATACAGAATTACTGTGCTAATAACATTATGATAACCGGGAGAGGAACAAACGATGAAGCAATTAATGGTTGTGAAAGCCAATCTCCGCAGCGTTTCTCGTATAAACGCTGCATCGCAGAATGCTGATGATTCCGGTTTAGAACACGCCGTAGTCGAAGGGTTAAGCATTTTATGGAATCGGAATTTACTGTCTCGCCCGCTGCGTCGCGTCACGTTCCATTCGTGAGCGACGCTGAGCGAATCGGCGTCGATTCGAATGCCGTTCCGCGGAAAATAATTTCCCCCGTGCCGGTGAGATTGCGGCCGCGACGGTCGTTGCTTCGCGGAAGAGTATCGCCGCGGCTGAATATGAATGAAGAGCGTTCGGTATCGACGGAACCGTATCGACGCGACATTTAACTCCTCGCGTCCCGAGTGAACCGCGATTTCTCCGAGGATCAAGTGAGGAATTACTAGGCTACTTCTATGTGGGTTGCCCCTTGCACTCGGAACATTCGTATCGTTAAGACTTACAATTCCGGCTGTGGAAAATATGCAAATTCTGTCATGAATTTATATATTATATAAATACGTAATCGTACGGGAGAATTTCTAATTGATTTCCGAAGATATTAATTGCGAAACCGATCGTGAATTATTAATTTATTATATCGAAACGATAAAACACGCTATTACGAGCCGTAAGCGTTCATCGGAAGACCGATATAGAAACACTCGAATCTACAGCCTCTTACGCGTATCAAGTGAGTAATCCGATATTCCTCCCGGTAAATTCTGTTTCCAGTTACCGAGGGGATGGACGTGAAACGTTAAAATGTTTCCAGAGCGCAGAGGGGCTGAAAACTAGAAAGAGTATGCAGCGGAAGGGCAGTGCGTAGTCACGTCGAACGGAAAGCGTTACGAGCAGAGGATTTTCCTGTCTAATCCGGATGAAACGGCTTTATACTCAAGGAGCTCCCTCTCAAACGGGAACCCCGCAGTCTCGAAGCATTCTACAACAGTGATTCGCAAACGGTGCTAGAAATAGGTTTCTTTAATTCCCGAAGACGTCGAATTGCTCCGTACGGATCGGAAACGTGCTGCGACGGTCGACGCGTCGGAAAAGTAAGGCGCGCGACTCACCGTGTGCGGCGACCAGTGATGCGGCCAGGTCTTGGTCTCGTGGGTACTACCAACGGCCGGTTGGCTCGCTAAAAACACGACTCGCCTGTCGGTGCTTCCGCTTCCGGTGCCGGTAGTGGTCAGCAAAGCCGCCCTGGCCCTGGAGCCGCCGATGCTCAGCGTAGGCGACGTGTCCATGTTGTCCTGGAAAAAGGAAACGAAATTGAGGAATGACCGGTTCGAATCCTCCGGACGCGGCTCTCCTATCGGAGGAGCGTGGGGCGGTCGAGAAAAATACGTATTTCATTTTTCAGCGAATAGAAGCGAGAGAACTCGCTCAATTTCAATCTTATTCCGGCGAGTTTCAATTACGCGGGATGTTGGTACAGTGGGTGGTTAAGGGTGGCGGGTGGCCCTCGGCAAAGGGGGTCGTCGATTCAAGCAAATTCTGCTAGTTTAATGAACCCTGTTACCGGAACGATGAATGCTCCCGAAAGAATCTCTAGGCGAGCCGGCGGGGCGCGCGTCTTCCGAGCGGCGGCCGCCGCGAGAGATACTTATTAATTCCGGTTTCGTACGAGCGAGCAATTGCGAGCGTTGTCGGCCCGGCAAGGGCGGAGGGACGCGGGGCGGCGAGGTTTTAGCGCAATTTTTCGCGGCGGCGCGCGCCGCGTCTATGAAAGAATTTTCTAGCACGTCATTAAGGCCGCGATATTTAAATGTAGGGTCGACCGGGGCGGCACGAGTGCTAGATTCTAATAATTGCCGGTAATGGCGGTGTCTATACCGCAATTAATTGCGTCGGCCGCGTGCCGGGAATACACTCGTTTTATTATCGAGCTTGTTATCGCGCGCTCCCGGAGAACCACCCGCGGCCCCCTAGCTCCTACCTGCGCCCGCCTGCCCTCTCTTCCCGTTAACAACGATTATCGCGATGCCCGTGACAACGCTAACGCGTCGCCGACTCCGTCGCGCCATCGCGAACGGGGGAAGAGCGGGAAGAGGGGACGCCGGGATTCCCGCGGCTCGAAAACTTTCCGCCAGGCGAAGAAGGATCGCTGTGTGAACGGTGATTCGAGAAACACGGCCGCCGCGCCATCGTAAAGAAATCCGACGAGGGTAATCGGGCTCGTTAGCGCCGGGGATGAAAGCTTGTCGAGCCGCGGAAACGCGAGCGAACGAGAGAGAGAGGGAGAGAGAGAGAAGAAAGAGAGGGACGGTTCTCCGAACCGAAATAAACTACGGGAGCAAGGAACACGAAGATGAAAATAAAAGACGAGGAAGACGAGGAACGGATGAAGTGGCAGGCTACATTTTTCAGCGGGATTTACGGGTCGTCGTCGGATATTAAGGAGAATGATGCGCGGCCGCGGATCGAGACACGCGACGCGAGGACCGATGAGAAAGCATCCCCCGAGGAACGGGAGGGAGGATGAAACAAGAGTCTTTCGAAGAAACGATGAAAATGAAATTGAACTAGGTCGCATTGGGTGACTGGCTATATATATATACCTTCTAACCTCTGATATCGACACGTACCTCTTAATTAAATCTTCGAATCCTCCTCGATGCCTAACGCTGATCAAGGCAACCCTCGGAGTATACGATCTACTGGACACCAGTGGATGCGACTTGTTTTTCCCAAGACTCCACTTACTATTCAGATACGTCCACCGTGATCCCTTATCCCGGCCAGCCGCACTTCAACCGGGTAATCCCTGAAGTCGCGTGCACCTAATCGTCATGCCAGCCGGAGGCGGCTGGTGCGGCGGCCTGTTCCTTAAATCGTTCCAGTACGACGTTCGCTCCTCCTCCGGCGCAATTACGGGTCATTACGCGGGGGATTCCGCCGCGTGCACACACGTGAAGCGGGCGCGCCGGCGGCCGGCGGACGCGCCGCGATCCTCCGGTCAGCGAGGTCCGCGGACGATTCCGCGCGGCGGTAATCGCGGCGATGAAGATAATGGCAGGGATATTAGCCAGCGATGCTATCGGTAGCCCGGCTGGCTCTTTAATCGATTTAAAACCGCGCGTCACGGATCCCTCGCGCGTCCGGCTCTCGCATTCCGGCCGCGCGTTCTTTTTTCCCTCGATTTTTCGGGTCCGCCCGGCGAAGCTTCCGGCCGAGCGGTTCCGGCCGCCGCCGGGGGTGACCGCGCGGAAAAGTTCGAGCCGCCCCGGACCGGAATCACGAGCGGCACACTGCTCGCCTCGGCTGCTACAGGGTGAAATTACCCGCGCGCCGCGGATTCGGTTTAATCTGTCAGAAAATTTACTTTCGCCGCCGCGAGCCTCGCGGCTCGCTCACCGATTTTAATTACACGGACGCGTTACATCAATGCCCCTCGCTCCTGCTCGGCGCTCGCGGAAATTTTATCTCCATTCCGCAGGTTCTTTCTTTCCTCCGTTCGCGTCCCTCCTTTTATCTTTGTGCCCGTCTCTCGTTCGCTCACGGCAGACCGCTGGTCAGATATTTCATCGTGCTGCTCGGATAGTCCTCCGAGGGCTTCGTCATCCTGGTTAATAACTATCTTTCCGCGGGACGGATGCGTTCGTCGCGAGTTCACGGGCCGCGCGGCCGAACGTTGCGGAACTCGACGTTTCGACGGGCATGTTTCGCGAGTAAGTCGCGAGAACGCTCCGCTACCGCGCCGGTGTCTCGCGAATCGCTTCGCGGCGACTCCGACGGACGCGCGACGGATCGGAGATCGAGACGATCGGCCGTTGCCCGGGCCCGGCACGACGACACTCCGTCACGGCCAGAACCGGCCGAGCGCTGCGGACGAAATCGCGCACGACACTGAACCGCCAGGACGTCTGCCGGCCGAGGCGAGCCTCCTCGCGGATTCGCGGGCTCACGTGTGAAATTCTTGCGCATGCACCGACGCCTTCTCCCCCTCCCGCCGCCGCCGCTCTTCCCTTCCAATTTCCAACCCCTTCCCGGGCTTCCTTTCCAGGCTATATCTCGTCCTTTCTTCGGCCTCTCCTTTCATCCCCCGCTAAACAGTCTTCGCCTCGCTTCCCTCTTCTTGTTCCTCCGCCACCTGCCCCTCTCGAGATCCCCTCCTACGGCTCGCTCTATCTTATCACCGGCTATCGCTGTTCTTTTCCAACCCGCCGTCCCATTGTGCCTCCCACCCCGCGCGTTCCTTTCTCTCTCCCTGTCCGGATAAGCTCCTTTAGATGGCATCATGCGAGCGACAAGTATCTAGCGATAGCTCCCCGCTTGCCACGGAGCTTAAGCGAGTATCTCGCAAAGTAGATTCGTGTAGATTGACGAAGGGCACGGGAGACGGTGTTCCCGTGAGTATCGCGAATGGACGTACAAGGCACGGCGCGAGGACGACGGAATTATGGCTCCTGAGACGGTACGATGGGGATTGAATGATTTTTAAGTGGATAAGGGAGTGTTCCTTCGTTATGAGAAATGATCTCTGCAGTCTGTAAGGAAAGCCGACAGACTTGAGCGAAACATTGACGATCTAGGCACCACGATTGGTTATCGCGTCTCATTAGATAGTTTATATAATATTGACTAATACAGAGCAATAGATTTAGAAGTAGAAAGGATAAGCAAGATAAACAGTTTTTCTTCACTTTTATATACTTCATCGAACATTCGTCCAATCCAGTTTTCGTTCCCCCTTGACACATCCATCCGCATTACCGACCATCTAATTCAATGACGATCTTCTCGATTGTAACATTCTATTCAATCCAACGAATCCTCCAAACAAATTACTGGACGAATGAAACTAAAACCAGTCACCGAGTTCCTAAATACAACACCATATCTAACTGCATTAAATCACAAAATCTATAGAACTAATTTCATCTTTGCGCTGCAAATGTAGGATTCCGACCGTCACAAACATATGACGTTGGTAGCGAACACGCAAAGATCCCGGCTCACAGCTGGGACACCCTACGATCTTCCGTTCCTCCAGCCGCACAGTGCAGCCAAACGGTTTTCTGGGCAAAACTCAATAACTTCAAAAGTATGAGTGACACAAACAAATGTTTCAAACAAAAGTTGCAAGGTATAGAGCTAAACGTATGGTGGTTACATCTTCTTTACATTACGAGAATATTATGAAGTTTTTCCAATGACAATGGACATTCTGCGTTTCGATTCGAACGTTACATAAGCAAAGAAACAGAATTCATTTGCACAAAACTGTTATTTTTTAAATGAACATCATTTTATATAGCAGAAACTGCTTAGCAATGGTAACCTACAATGTTCGTTATGTGAATAGTCGAACTTCGGGATTCTGTCCACAGACGGCCGCACTGTGATCCAACGCGCTCCCCGTGGAATTCTCGGAGAATCGGTTTTTCATCACCGCGGGATAAATGTCCGGATGATTTTATACCCGCTAATAGAATCTTCGCCGAGGGTAATGACATCGGTGGGCGCTTGTAGAATTTATTAAGTGACCCGGGGATACGATCTTCCGCAAATATGACACTTGTCGCGCGCCAAGGTCGGCGAGGGGCGCGTGAACGGGGAAGTAAAACGTGGATGATAATGCGAGGGGAAAGGAGCCGCCGGGCCACGGCCCGTGGCCATAGGACGCACACGAGCGGTGAAAACAGAAAGTTTATGGAGAGAGGCGGACGCCGCCGGTGAAAAAGGTCCCGGGCGAGGGTGGAAAGCGTCGCAATATCGCGCGCGCAATTTTCTTGTTTAGGTGACAATCTTGTTTATCAGCGCAGTATTAACGGTTATTATTTAACACGTCGACTGCTACGGGAACCTCCAGCGTTTTCCGTATCGCTTATTCTTTCAGGTCGACGAGGAATTACGACGATTGTTGATTATATAGTAATTGTACTATCTAGTTGTTTTCACTGTTAACCCTGGGACATCGGATGTTTTTGACTACTTCACTAGAGATGTTTTGGATCAACATTATTGGTCATTGATTGTTATAAGTAGGTTCTTCAAACGTTTTTGTACGAAATACTTCGGTCTTGTTCGTTTAGTTGACATAATTAACTGGAAATACGAGCATAAGTGGAGGAGTTAAACGAAGTCGTTAATGATATGGATCGAAACAGATTTAGGTATAGTTTCCTTAAATCCCTGTTATGCAACATCGATTGGGTTATATGGTGACATTGTTTTCAACGAATTCGAAAGCGCTAATCATCGGTGGCTACTATGGCGGCCAACGTGTCGAAGATCGTCGCTGACACCCGCGACGAACGGATGGAAGAGCTTTTTTCATGGAAAATCGAGTATTTCTGGGTGAAGGAATTTAAGCGGGACCGATTCCTCCTTGGAAAGTGATCCCTTTTTTGCGAGACGCTGCGCGAAGAAGAAACGTGTCGGAGTTCGCCAAGTTCCTCAGTTCGCAAGAATCCGGAATGTCGAGAAGAAAATAAACTTGGGATTCTTCAAATTGATTATGAACGCGTAATCTGTAGTTTAGGAAGTGTTTCGAACGAGTTTTCATTCCTAGAGTAATACGTCGTATTGTGACAATTGATTTATCAACTTTTAGTTGCCAGCTAAAGAGAAAATTTGAGAAAAATTAATTTTCTCGCTGGCGTATGAATCAAATGAAATGAAATAATCAAATGCGTGACAATTAATCGACCAACATATTAACCCTTTGCGGACGAACGTCGACATTCTGCCGAGATTAGATGTTCATATTTGCAACATTAAGTCGCAACAAATGATTTAATTACTAAAACAGCTGGAGGTCAGTACGTAGTTTCCCTTTTCCAATTATCTAAGCGATCGATACATAATTTAGCTTCATCTGCTGACGATATTCTATATTTGAATGAATCTTCAAAGAGTTAAGAAACCTCTATGTGAGATCTTCATTTCTCAGTTTCCATATTCTCAGGAAAATTACCACTATCCTACAAGTAATCTAATAAGTCTAATTGCTCGGTCAACACGTCGGAAATCGCACAAGACTTCATCAAGGAATCCACAAGTGACAATTAATCGACCAACACATTAAGAAACCTCTACGCGAAATCTTCATTTCTCAGTTTCCATTTTCTCAGGAAAATTATCACGATTCTACAAGTAATCTAATAAGTCTAATTGTTCGGTCAACACGTCAGAAATCACACAAGACTCCATCAAAAAGCGAATCCATCTTCGAGAGGTACCGCGTGAACGTTGCAAGCGTTATTCCCCTCGGTTATATTATATTAAACACATTACCAAATCGTTTATCCGGCGCGCACGGGAAAAATGCTTCCTGCCGCGCGCCACCCGCATCATTATTCCATCCGGTTGTTATTCCGGCTCGTCGACCACGTTTGTTTCGCATCGATCCCGCATTGTTTGCGCATACGGGAGCACCGGCGGGGGAGCGAACGGATGCCGCGGCGCATCGCGGGTACGCGCGTGATCCTCTTTCCAAAATCCGTCTCATACACGTTAGTCAGATCACGAGGGAGACGGTACCTGTTGAAGATCGGTCCGCGGAACTGCCATTCAATCGGCCCTCGTAAAACGTGCGCGGCTTTCCCCGTCGCTCGATCGATCGATTATGTCAGCGGATAAATGGTACGCGAGTAATCGGGATCGGGGAGCCGAATGTGGAAGAAGGGCGAGCCGATTGCGACGGCAGAAGACTCGCCCCGTCGAGACAATGCCGGCCTGAAAATCGAATGGATCGCGCAAACACGCGGGATCGGACTCGAGCATTACGCGAGCCGTTCATTTGCCAAATCGATTGGGTCCACAAATAGAAGGCAGGGGAATCGGCGAAGGAAACGATGTGTCTTTGTTACAGCATCTCAATGGAATATTTGGGTGAGTTATATGATAATTATGAACAGCGTTGACGATTGTGTAGAGTGAGTGAGAACCAAGCGTGGGAATGGATGAATGAATGTGCAATAGATGAACGGCGGACGTGCGTGTGAATGTTCGTGAGGTTTGAAATATTCTAGGATATATTGATTGTCTAAAATATTCATTTTTAGATATTAACGCTGTTGAGTTTAATGAATATAGAATTTTCCAAATATACATAATATGCATGGCGACGAAAGAATGTTCTGGAAGTTGTGCGAGCGAGATGGAAGTATGGGAATGTATAAATGCAGCGAGGGATGCGACGTGAAACATCGCGTACCGTCAAAGTAGCTCGGCTAACAAAGTAGCTCTGCTGAACATAACCCCCCTGTTGGTAAACCAGTAATTCTCAAATTAAAAGGGTAGAGAGCACTATGCTCTAGGTATCTTTTAAAAACCCCCAGGCTCGATCCACAGGCCAGTCCTGTCCAAAAAGAAAAAAAAACGTGGAACATTACGCACCGAAACAGCGAGCGAACGTTGCGTATTGAAAGAGCGAGTGTGCATTACGTACCGAAATATAATTGATCCTACAATAATGACGATGATAATGAGGATGATAATGATAAACAAGCATACAGTGCGATCGATGAAAATAGCGGAGTTTACTCGAACTTGGCACGTGCTCGCATTCGGTTATGGACTTCTGTCGATTTGGGTTTTCAAATGAATATAGTATCATTCCGCGTTGAAAAAAGTTTCGGTAAGTTCGCGATGGTAGAAGAATTACTGAGGAAATTTATTTTAGATTGTGATAATAGATATTGACAGAAACCCGATGAGGTAATGTAAGAATTACCTGTGAATACGATAATTCGCCTTTCACAAATAACATTTAAAAGTTAAACTCACAGAGTATCGCTTTCTGTTAAAACTTTCTTGAGAATTCGTTCAATCATCTGAATTTTAAGTTCAGACTTGATAATAGACTAGTCAAGCTAACAGAAAAAATCTTTAACATTGAAAGGATTGCAAATGCAAGCCGAAACAAGCGAAAAGCCACTATCTAAGGTCATTAAGGTTCAATTTCAGCAATTTTTCAACAGAAACATTGTGATTCCTGAATTTTACTCGCTACTATAGAAAATTTCCAGAAAATCAATACATTAAACAAGTATATATTATTTATGATATATTATCACATAGTATGTATTATATTACTATATACTTCATCACGTAATATATGATATACGAATATACATTTGTCATGTAATTGCATATTATTGTACATTATTATACACCTAACCCTCAATTTACACGGTAGATTGGTTCCCCGAAAATGCCGTATAAATTAAAATCGTATAATTCGAGTCCATAATTCACATTGCAAAGAAATACACCTGAAATAAATTCAACAAATCCATATGAAACAGTAATATTCACTTTTCTGTACAATAAAACATCATATAAATATTTCGAAATAAGAATTCATTAACCCAACAAAATTACATACGTAATTCACAAAACAAACAAAAACTTAATATAGTTTCTCCATTTGTCAGAACTGGCCGCGTCAAAGTGAAATGC